TCTGGTAGCTGCAGGGACGAGGGATTTGGCGGGAACAGTTCCGTACATGTTCGAGCCGCAATCATGGGTTCGAAATCGGATAGAGGAATGTCAACCTTTGAGTGTTTGGCTAGCTAGGCCGATTAGTATTCCATTTTGCTACTATTTATGTCCTTACACTTGCATGTAGGGCACATCCCAGTCAATGTTCTATCACTCTACTACTAGGTCAAGGGCCCAGGAAAACCTTGTGCGACCCTTCCTGTGCGTTGACCTTGATACGTTCAATCTCAAGTCGCAGCGATGCGTTACTACAGTTCGTTAAAAATAATACTGCAGTTGGAAAACAAGTTCAAGGCTGTACTTGTTCATTCAAAACTCCTGAACACCAAACCTATTAATGAAAGACAAACTACGCCGGTCAAACGACCTAACCACATGCAGCGTGCGCAAGATGGAATGCGCCTCAACAATCTGATATCGTACGTCACGCTGCGACTCGTGCAGCACTGTGCACGATGTGACCGCGTCCACATCTCCAACTTCGTAGTATCGCACCATTGCATAGGCCTTCTTCACTGCACGCCCGTCCTCAACAGAATCCACATGGAACAAGAGCATCAGCTGTGCGAACCACGTTGCAATCACCTCAGCTCCAAGCGGCGCACTTTCGTTCCCCAAAATCGCAACATAGGAGAAACAAGGTGCGTTATGGAACGTCAATGCTGCCCGTGCGTAATGCGCCTCGTAGTCGTCCCCTGGTGGTAGTGCGATCGAGGCATGTACCTGGAAGGATAAGGCAAACGATCGTTTGTTGAATAATCACAACAGTGTAGAACGTGCGGTTGGGTATGGAGGAGTACAACAAGTCAAGAACAAACCATACCTCCACAGACTTGGCAGGCAGCTGCTGACTCTTGAGCAACTCAGGAAGCGAGCGCATTCCCGTCCCATGATGGTTGACGAACGAGTCCCACAAGGCATCTCCCACAACCCCACCCTCGCGGCACGGCAGAACCATGGTGTTGTGTCGGGACGTCAGCACGTGTGTTTTGAGAGAGATGGCCTGGAATTTAAGAGGGTTCCATGTAGGGAAAAAGATGCCAAGATTTGGATCAGGGTGACACACAAGATACCAGTGGGATAGAAACAGGATGCATTAACATACGAACTACTGTACCTTCATGAGGGCGGTGTCGTAACGCTTGCTCTGCAGCAGAGAAGTTGGCAACAGAGACAGCGCGTTGCGCATCACCGCGCTGCGCATGATTGCTGCATCATACTCTCGGAAGTTGGATGCTCGAAATGGTCGTTTACATGAGGCAGTGTGTGCATGCTAGAACAGGCTAGTGCAGAACTCCCTAGGCAAACCGCCTCGCCTAATCGAATCTGGGAAGTGCAGCAGCAAATGTACTTTCACAAGCTTCCACCCATTTCCCCCGCGTGGCAGATTGTGTACCAACAGTCGGATCAATCTGCCAATGATATGGCAAGGCATGAGATACAATGGTATAAGCAACCAATCTGTACAAACATCCAATCGGGCAACTCCCAACACATTCAAAACATGTAGGACAAAACACTTACTCTTGGGTATCAGTCACATATTTCTCCAGCGATGCCTTCGTGTAGGATGTTGCCCTGAAGTAGGTGTCGAACCAGTTCACAAAGAAACGCAGAATATACATTCCCGCACCGGAAATGAGTCCTTCCATAATGAACACGACCACCTGGATTACACAATACCACACGGTGGGTAGAATGGTCAAACTAAACATACAGTGGGACGAACGTTACTATCTAATAGGGGAAACATACTCACCCGCAACATTCCTGCATGATCCGATGCTGAGAAGTTGGCTCCAAGGCTGAAGTAGCGTCCAGGGGGGGGTAGCGGAATGCCTGCTGATCGCGCCTCCCGGTAGAGATCCCGATGGCGTCTGCCAGTGGCAATACAGTAGAAACAAAGTTACTATTGCGTATATTATCCATTAAGAGAGGGTAAAGAGAAGCGCCATATTTATGAATCCACTTGCATACTTACTCGTTCATCGTTTTAACATTTTTGTTCTTGAGAAGCAAAGCTTCAAGGATGTACACCCAAAGCCCGATCAAGATCACATGTAACACATCAGGTTGGATTACTTGATACGGGTTTCCCCAATCCTTCTCAGCGTCCTTCTGCTTGCCGAAATGCCACAGAAAGGTCTGCAGGGCGGGGTTGATATACGGGACACCGACAAACTATGGGTTACATTTGTTCAAGTGGCATGCGAGGCATATAATACTCTCGCACCAGCGCAATGTCAGCGTGTCATTTCGCAAACTATACATGACAGTTGTAATAATAGCCATGTTACTTACGTCCATCATAACCGTAGAATACTCTTTCGCTAGCTTAGCGTCCTTGGCGTACTTCATTTGACGCTCTACGGTCCTGTACTCGATGATGTTTGGATCCATGACGTCCAGCTGCGACTTCTCCACATAGCAGATCGAGCAAGGGCGCGCCGAGTTGTGTTGCATCGTGCATGTGACCTTGCAGGTCTCGGGATAATCAGCGATGTACTCGAACAGTTTGAACCAAACGGTCCAAACTTTGCCGTTAGGATCTGTCAAGGGCAGAGAACTACAAATCCACAACAAACACCCATGGGGAGAACGTATAAGAGTAGGAGCCGTAATTCAGCATCACGACTACATTTGGAGACAATATGCAAATATCACCATTACACATACGTTTTGCAAAACCGCATGAGGCTTTCAAACAATGCAGAACTACTCTTCTGGAACAGCTCCACTTTTTGCCAGGCTTCCATCTCAGGATCCGGACGCGGCAAGAGCGCAATCATTGTGCGACCATGCTCCTTCCATCTCGTATCAACAGGAAGATTGGCAAAGGTAAGGTATACCGGCCAAGCGCGACATCGCTCGTTACCACTCAGCGTGGTCTCATCGCTCGAAATGATGAGTGGACAGACACACTCCTTGGGTCCCAGGCCTTTCTGTAGTGGAGTAATATTGGGCGGAGTAAGAGAATGTAAGTGGCTGCACTAAGAGGGCACATGAAATAGTCAACAAAACATTCCTAACATTGTATTTACCTGAGCACCCAACCAATAATCCCCATTGTGTGCTGCATCATACACTCTAATATCGTCCACCATCTTTTTCTTAGCGTGATGTGTGAATCCAGGAGCGTTGCGCTTATCCCCCCACATCCGTTCCAATGCCTGCCAATCAACAAACCTCTGTCAAATACAGTCAAAGATAGAACAAACTAACTACCAAACGTTCATAACCATACCTCTTTCAGATCCACTGTCTTGACTTGAAATGATGACGGCCATCCTCTTACAGTTACTTCTATCGTTTTAAACTGCTGCTTAGAAACTCCTAAGGCCTCTATCCCATACCTATCTACTGCTGCTTTTGTGGTCCACTCAGCAAGCTGTGCTGGATCAAAACCGGGCTGCTTCATTAACCTAAAAAAGTAACTAACGTCTGGACTGGCCATTCCAGTACCCTTATTGCAACTCTCCAGAAACCTAAACGTCTCCTTCTTAGTGTCGAATATAGGGCGCTCTTCCTCCTCTTCCCCAAACTCGACCTCGGCGTCACAAAAGACTTCAGTGTCATCATCGTACGACTCATCGTAGCCATCACCCCTATCTACTACCGGATCCTGCACTCCAAACACGAATGGAAATGGCGGCGTCAACTCTACACGTTCTAATGGTGGTACCAAAATCCCACGACTAGTTGGAGTGCTAAACGCATTTGCTTCCTGAAAGGCTAAACACCGTTGATTACTCCTCTGGTGATTCACTAGACCTAACTCGCTCTTCAACCCCTTCCCGCAATGCCGGCATACGAAGATAAGCATGTCGAGGTTCGGGTAACTGCACATGGTAAACAGCATGTAGATTAGAGTCATCCAGGGTTTAACATAGCCACCACATGTCAAGCATCGTATACACAATGCGATAAAAGACTCATCTATACCCTTACGGTACCTCTAAGTCGGCAGGAAGCTCCCACAGCGTACGGTGTCTTGCATCAAGCCTAGCACGAACGCCTGGATGTCGAGCACGGTTCAATCTGGAAACTACCTGCGATAGAAGCAGATCTCATAGGTTTTAGTTTTGATCCTGGTCGGTTTGAGTGTGCTAAAAAGATGAAGATATGGCCAGAATCACATAATTACATGTATGGGGCGTAATATTGATGCACCTATTAGAGACGCATATAGGTCTACTAAATGACACATCAGGCAACGGTAGACAGTACCGGACACCCGCAGCCCAAACGCACATGCCCACGACGTCACCACAACCTAGCCCAAGGTTTGACGTATATTCGGTGTATCGCAGACGCCGCACCGAAGAGTTAGCAGGCAACATGTGTTGAGCAGACCTGTGTGGAGTTAAGAGGCACGGTACACAAAGTGAGTGGGAGGCCGGGAAAGGATATGTGGGCTGGATGGGAGAGGATGGCAGGGCAGAGGGGAGGGCAGGATGGGAGAGGAGAGGAGGGTAGGCATTGGGGAGAGAACCAGAGGGCTGGGCGGGAGAGGAGCGGAGGGTTAGACGAGAGAAGAGCGGAGGGCGTTAAGCGAGAGAAGTAAACAACCCTAACATATGATACGAAAGGGGAGGTGCACCGCAGATGGAAACGTAGTAGGGAAATGGGGGTCGCGGATATGTGAGATTCATCATTCACGGCAAAGCAAACACCAACCGTTCAGGTGTCACCCAGTCATGCATGTGATCCCAGACCGTGTATGTGCACCTATCCCGTGAGTGGAAATAAACAACTAAACTGGCGAATAAGGTTACCTTAAGCGCACAACAAGGTCGCACTCCTTCAATGTTCGTTACTGACGGAGTGCAGCACGCCCCAAAGGCAGGCCTTTCGGCTGTGAGATTTCCTCCCGGATTCGGGCCCACACGAGGGCAGGCGAAGATCGCTGGCCGATTTGGATCCGAACTGCCATCACCACCTCCTTTGAAAGGCCCGTGCTATGTCACCGGTGCGAAGAACACGTTTTTCTGCATGAATGTACAGGATGTAATAGCGAAGAAGAGCGGAGGGAAAGGAAAAGAAAGGGAGAGGAGCAGGAAGGCAGCACGGGAGAAGAGAGAGGACAGAAAGAAAGGGGAGAAGGGGGGACAGAAGGAGAGGGGAGAAGGGAGGACAGAAAGAGAGGGGAGAGGGAGGCAGGAAGGGAGAGGAGAGGGAGGCAGGCCAGAAGAGGAGATGATGGCAGCACGGGAGAGGAGATGAAGGCAGGACGGGAGAGGAGATGAAGGCAGGACGGGAGAGGAGATGAAGGCAGGACGGGAGAGGAGATGAAGGCAGGACGGGAGAGGAGATGAAGGCAGGACGGGAGATGAGATGAAGGCATGTCGGGAGAGGAGATGAAGGCAGGACGGGAGAGGAGATGAAGGCAGGACGGGAGAGGAGATGAAGGCAGGACAGGAGATGGGATTATGGCAGGAAGCGAGAGGAGAGGAAGGCAGGGTGAGGAAGAGGAAGGGGAAGGGGAAGCGAGATTTCCGCGTACGCACCGCGGGGGGTTGGCATGCGGATTCCGGAACCCACATGTTGCGCGACCCTACTGTTTCCGGAGATCCCACTGCGCGACACGCCTGCGAACATGGGTGGAGAAGCGAGCAGTGGAGGACGGAGCGGGAGAGGAGAGGTGTGGACATTGAGGGAGGAGAGGGGGGGACAAAAACGGAGAGGGGAGAGGAGGACAGAAAGGGAGATGAGAGGGGAGGACAGGAAGGGAGAGGAGATGAAGGCATGAAGGGATAGGATAGGAAGGCAGTAAGTGAGAGGAGAGGAAGGCAGTGAGGGAGAGAAGAGGAAGGCAGTGAGCGAGATGAGATGAAGGCATGCAGGGATAAAGAGGACAGGGAGGAGATAGAAGCGAAGGAAACCCATGCAAATTCCGATTAGGATTCTTCACACGCACCTTGCGACACAGTTGCGAATTCCGTAGCTCCCACCGTGCGACGCGGCTGCGGATTCCGCAGCTCCCACCGTGCGACGCGCCTGCGGATTGCGAAGATAGCAGGATTGGTCAGACGGGCAGCATGGGAGATGATATGAGAGCAGGAGAGGATATGAGAGCAGGAGAGGATATGAGAGCAGGAGAGGATATGAGAGCAGGAGAGGATATGAGAGCAGGAGATGATATGAGAGCAGGAGAGGATATGAGAGCAGGAGAGGATATGAGAGCAGGAGAGGATATGAGAGCAGGAGAGGATATGAGAGCAGGAGAGGACATGAGAGCAGGAGAGGATATGAGAGCAGGAGAGGATATGAGAGCAGGAGAGGATATGAGAGCAGGAGAGGATATGAGAGCAGGAGAGGACATGAGAGCAGGAGAGGATATGAGAGCATGAGAGGACATGAGAGCAGGAGAGGATATGAGAGCAGGAGAGGATATGAGAGCATGAGAGGATATGAGAGCAGGAGAGGATATGAGAGCAGGAGAGGATATGAGAGCAGGAGAGGATATGAGAGCAGGAGAGGACATGAGAGCAGGAGAGGATATGAGAGCAGGAGAGGATATGAGAGCATGAGAGGATATGAGAGCAGGAGAGGATATGAGAGCAGGAGAGGATATGAGAGCAGGAGAGGATATGAGAGCAGGAGAGGAGAGCAGGAGACGAGAGGAGAGCAGGATGGGAGAGGAGAGGAGAGCAGGATGGGAGAGGAGAGGAGAGCAGGATGGGAGAGGAGAGGAGAGCAGGATGGGAGAGGAGAGGAGAGCAGGATGGGAGAGGACATAAAGGGATGAAAGGAATCGAAATGAAGGCAAGAAGGCGGTTGCACGCTAAGGAAGGAAGGGAGAGCATATGAAGGCAAGACGGTAGAGGAGAGGAAGGCAGCAAGGGAGAGGAGATGAAGGCAGGAAAGGGAGAGTACTTGAAGGCATGAAAGGGAGAGTACTTGAAGGCATGAAAGGGAGAGTACTTGAAGGCATGAAAGGGAGAGTACTTGAAGCCATGAAAGGGAGAGTAGTTCAAGGGAGTAAACGGGAAAAATGAGGGCAAGGGAGAGGAAACGAAGGCAGGAAGGGAGAGGAGCGGAATGAGAGGAAGGGTAGAGAAGGAGCAAATGAAACACAAGCAGGAGTCGAGTAGGGCTCTGCGCACGCACCGTGCGCCACGCCTGCGGATTCCGGAGCTCACACCGTGCGCCACGCCTGCAGATTCCGGAGCTCACACCGTGCGCCACGCCTGCGGATTCCGGAGCTCACACCGTGCGCCACGCCTGCGGATTCCGGAGCTCACACCGTGCGCCACGCCTGCAAACTCGGGTGCCCAGGATGGCACGTAGGAACGCCACAAGAACGAGAACCTGGGTGGGGAATACAGCAGGATAGGACAGAAGAGGGCATCATGGGAGAGGAGAGGAGAGCAGGATGGGAGAGGAGAGGAGAGCAGGATGGGAGAGGAGAGGAGAGCAGGATGGGAGAGGAGGGGAGGACATGAAGGCATGAAAGGAATTGAAATGAAGGCGGTAAAGGGATTTGAGCGGAAACGAAGTTCGGGGAGAGGAGATGAATGCAGGAAGGGAGCGGAGAAGTAGGCAGGAAGGGAGAGGAAAGGATGGCAGGAAGAGAAACGGGATAAGGCAGGAAGGGCAAGGGGATAATGCAGGAAGGGAGAGGAGTGGAGAGCAGGATGGGAGAGGAAATGAAGGCAGGAAGGGAGAGGAGAAGAAAGCATGAAGGTAGAGCAGCGGAAGGCAGGAAGGGAGAGGAGATGCAGGCAAGAAAGGAGAGGGGATGAAGGCAAGAAAGGAGAGGGGATGAAGGCAAGAAGGGAGAGGAGAGGAAGGCAGGAAGGAAAAGGAGAGTAAGGCAAGAAAGGGAGAGTAGTTGAAAGCGGGAGGGGAGAGGAAATGAGGGCAAGGGAGATGACAGGAAGGCAGGAAGGGAGAGGAAAGGAAGGCAGGATGGGAGAGGAGCGGACCGTAAGGAAGGGTAGAGAAGAAGCGAACTAAATCCAAGCAGGATTCGAGTAGGAATCTGCGCGCGCACCGTGCGCCACGCCTGCGGAACTAGCAGAGCTCACACCGTGCGCCACGCCTGCGGATTCCGGAGCTCACACCGCGCGCCACGCCTGCGGATTCCGCCGCTCACACCGTGCGCCACGCCTGCAAACTCGACTGCACAGGACGGCACGTAGAAACGCCACAAGAACGAGACCGCGTGGATCAACGGTTGTGCAGAACCTGGGTGGAAAAGACAGCAGGATAGGATAGAACAAAAGCATCATGGGAGAGGAGAGGAGAGCAGGATGGGAGAGAAGAGGAGAGCAGGATAGGAGCGATGACGAGTACAAAAGGCAAGCGAGGACGAGGATAGGATGGGAGAGCGGATGGCAACTTCGTAGAAGAAACGGGGCGGGTAAGTGCCCTTGGATATTGATGGGAATGCGCCTTCCCTGGGAGGTTTTCGTAGATTTGCGCTCACACCGTGCTACCCCACCTGTAACACCCTCGCGCCTTTACCGTACTGCCGATCTAGGAAAATGCCTCGACAACCAAGCCTCAGCAACAACGTGCGCCACCGTTCGTGTTGCTGTAACCGCAGTGTGTGACAATCCCGAGCCGGGGTCGCACGTCCAGTGGAGAAAGGGATGAGGGTAATTTGCTGCAGGGAAGTGCGAGATTAGGGTATGGCGGAGACGCAGGGACGTGCGATAAGCAGTTAAGGATGTCTTGTGATAGGAAAAAAGAACGCAACGGTGAAACATCTTGACAAGGGGTAGAGGGGGCGAGAGGGAAAGGGGAACGTGGCACAGATTCGCAAAACGCACGGATCGCAGGGTTCTAGACGAACAGCAGGACGGCATAGACATGATATGCGGGTTTTAGGGCTCACCAAGCGTACGTCAAACTAATACAGAGGCGAGTCGATTTGTCAGGGGAATGGAGGTCAACAAGCTGCAAGCTAAGCATTTGCCCTTCGAGTGATTCTGAGGAATGTTTGCTACGGAAAGGAACCTCTGCGGGTGACGTGAGGTAAGCTGGGGAGGGTAAGAGTGAAGGGGGAAAGAGAAACCAAAACGACATAGGATGCAATCCAGGGGAGAACACTTCAACAGGTGATATGGGAATGCATCACTAGAAGACAGAGGTCAAACTGTCTTCTTCCTAGGGTGATATTGTATGATGTCCATAGCAATTATGCCAGCCTGGATCCAGGAGACACCAGTGGTCTCACTTTGGGACCAGATGCAAAGCCATTTTGATTTTGCCATGTGTAGGTTTCACATGAGACGATCTTCTCAACCATGGTTTGCTTCAAACAAGAGCAACCTCTTGGCATCTAGCATCAGATCCAGCAGAACGTTCTTATATTCAGATCAAGCATAAGGACCACATTCATGGCAAGGATGGCATGGTTCCAAATGGGGCACAAGTCAAGTGTTGCATGCAAGGGATTGTAGCTTCTAGGAAAGCATGTTGGCAGCTTTCAAGTACAGCATTGCATAGCTGGATGGCAGGTGTGATGCATCAAACAGCAAGTAGGGGTGGGATTTCTAAACCCACTAGAAGCAACACCTACAGAAAGAAGACCACAATCAACTGTTGACCACATGTTCTGAGCTCTAAAGCTGTCCTTCCATTGCCACCCCACCTGACATCACATGCTTCCATTGCCACCTCACCTCACATCACATGTACATATTAAATGCTCTTTCCAAAAGATTACAACCCTCCAAGATCCTCACTAACCATGGTGGGCCTAGGTTACCAGCCATTTACACACTCCTTAGCGTCGAGATATTAGTGTACCAAAGACATGCCAGGTCTATATTAGGCTATATGAACCAAGCTACCATATTCTATTGTGAAGTCAATAACGTTTGCGACTTGCTAAACTATGGATAGTGTCATGTGTATTTGGGCGATTGAGCCCTAAACAGGTCCGATGGCAAGGGAATAGTGTGAACTAAGAGAATAAGCGAAGAAATGGTGCTAACAAAAGCAACCAAACGACGAAACGGTGACATGTTGCGCACTGGGCTGTCCTTGCACGGTTTCAGGCGATCAGACGCACAAGCAAGCGTCACGTGCTGCGTAGATGTGCGAATGAGCCCAGACAAGTTCCAATGGCAAGGTAATAGTGTGAACCAACAGAATCTGTGAAGAAGTGGCGTTAACAAAATCAACAAAACGACGAAACGGTGACATGTCTAACGCTGGGCTGTCCTTGCACGGTTTCAGGCGATCAGACGCACAAGCACGCGTCACGTGCTGCGTAGACGTGCGAATGAGCCCAAACCAGTTCCAATGGAAAGGGATTAGTGTGAAGGTACAGCATCTGTGAAGAAATGGTGCTAAAAAAAGCAACCAAACGACGAAACGGTGACATGTTGCGCGCTGGGCTGTCCTTGCACGGTTTCAGGCGATCAGACGCACAAACAAGCGTCACGTGCTGCGTAGATGTGCGCATGAGCCCAAACCAGTTGCAATGGCACGGGATTAGTGTTGAGGTACAGGATCTGTGAAGAAATGGCGCTAAAAAAAGCAACCAAACGACGAAACAGTGACGATGCAAAGCCATTTTGATTTTGCCAGGTGTAGGTTTCACATGAGACGATGTTCTCAACCATGGTTTGCTTCAAACAAGAGCAACCTCTTGGCATCTAGCATCAGATCCAGCAGAACGTTCCTATATTCAGATCAAGCATAAGGACCAGATTCATGGCAAGGATGGCATGGTTCCAAATGGGGCACAAGGCACGTGTTGCATGCAAGGGATTGTAGCTTCTAGGAAAGCATGTTGGCAGCTTTCAAGTACAGCATTGCATAGCTGGATGGCAGGTGTGATGCATCAAACAGCAAGTAGGGGTGGGATTTCTAAACCCACTAGAAGCAACACCTACAGAAAGAAGACCACAATCAACTGTTGACCACATGTTCTGAGCTCTAAAGCTGTCCTTCCATTGCCACCCCACCTGACATCACATGCTTCCATTGCCACCTCACCTCACATCACATGTACATATTAAATGCTCTTTCCAAAAGACCACAACCCTCCAAGATCCTCACTAACCATGGTGGGCCTAGGTTACCAGCCATTTACACACTCCTTAGCGTCGAGATATTAGTGTACCAAAGGCATGCCAGGTCTATATTAGGCTATATGAACCAAGCTACCATATTCTATTGTGAAGTCAATAACGTTTGCGACTTGCTAAACTATGGATAGTGTCATGTGTACTTGGGCGATTGAGCCCTAAACAGGTCCGATGGCAAGGGAATAGTGTGAACTAAGAGAATAAGCGAAGAAATGGTGCTAACAAAAGCAACCAAACGACGAAACGGTGACATGTTGCGCACTGGGCTGTCCTTGCACGGTTTCAGGCGATCAGACGCACAAGCAAGCGTCACGTGCTGCGTAGATGTGCGAATGAGCCCAGACAAGTTCCAATGGCAAGGTAATAGTGTGAACCAACAGAATCTGTGAAGAAGTGGCGCTAACAAAATCAACAAAACGACGAAACGGTGACATGTCTAACGCTGGGCTGTCCTTGCACGGTTTCAGGCGATCAGACGCACAAGCACGCGTCACGTGCTGCGTAGACGTGCGAATGAGCCCAAACCAGTTCCAATGGAAAGGGATTAGTGTGAAGGTACAGCATCTGTGAAGAAATGGTGCTAAAAAAAGCAACCAAACGAGGAAACGGTGACATGTTGAGCACTGGGCTGTCCTTGCACGGTTTCAGGCGATCAGACGCACAAGCAAGCGTCACGTGCTGCGTAGATGTGCGAATGAGCCCAAACCAGTTCCAATGGCAAGGGAATAGTGTGAACCAACAGAGTCTGTGAAGAAATGGTGCTACCAAAATCATCCAAACGACGAAACGGTGACATGATGAGCGCTGGGCTGTCATTGCACTGTTTCATGCGATCAGACGCACAAACAAGCGTCTGGTGCTGCGAAGTTGTGCGAATGAGGTATAACCAGTTTCTATGGAAAGAGAATTGAGTGAACTAGCTGAATATGTGAAGAAATGGTGGTAAAAATGAGAAGAATTGAACGAGAATGGAATGAGTATGAACGAAGTGAGTACAAATAGGAAACCCTAATTGTGTTGTACCCCCTATGGGATACCCCACTATAGCCTACACAAACAAGTAAGCTATATGTTCTGACACACCCCCATAGGCAAAGTGGGGGAGAACAAGGGGTCACAAGACCAGTCAAGCAAAGCAAAACAAAGCTCAGGGTGGATCACAAAGTCACCACGCATTCCGAGCACAAGTTCAAAGGCCACAAGGCCAGTTCACATGCAAGATCATATATAGAGGTATACAAGAGTCAAGCAAGCAAGAGCAAGAGTATATATATGCGAAGGTACAAGCAAGGTCAAGAGGAGAGCAAGTGAGGCAAGACAGGCACAAGACCCAACTGCGTGCAGCAACGCTGATGATCACAAGGCGCAAGTGCCTTGGTGAAGACATCAGCAGTGTTGGCCTCAGAGGCCACGTACGCAAGTCGCAGCTGTCCACGCTGCTGTAGCTCACGAGCAAGAAAGTAGCGAAGAGCAATGTGCTTCATTCTGTGCTCCAGTCGCTGCTCTCGACACAAGGCCAGCATGGCCTTGTTGTCTACGTACAGGACTGGAGGAGAACGAGGCTGCTCTCCAAGGTCGGTCAGCAGGTAGGTGAGCCAGCGTAACTCCTGTGCAGCCATAGCTCCAGCGTAGATCTCAGCCTCACAACTGGAGCCGAGAACAGAAGACGAGCGGGTAGCCCGCCACGAGACAGAGCCGGAACCAAGGCTGAAGGTGTAACCCTGTGACGACCGCTGCGTAGCCTGGTCGTCAGCCCAAGAAGCGTCTGCGTGCCCAGTGAGGACCACTGGACTGCGCCCTCCAAGCACTAGCCCCATGCCCGACGTACTGCACAAGTAGCGCAACACCCTCTTCGCTGCAGCCATGTGCTCTGGTCGGTGTCTCCCAGGAGCAACAAAGCGTGCGAGAATGCTAAGAGGGTATGCGAGGTCAGGTCGTGTGCAGGTCATCAGGTACATGAGGCAGCCAACAAGCTCTGCAAACGGGCCACTCGACTCTACGGACTCATCCGAAGGCAGAGCTGAGAGCGAGTGGCGAGTAGGCAGAGGAGTGGCCTGAGGCGAGGAGTACGTGAAGCCGAAGCGCTGAAGGACCTGCTGCACCATGTGTGACTGAGTCAGGGTAATGGTGCGGCGTGCTCTGTCCCGGGTGATCTGCAAGCCAAGGTAGCTGCGCAGTTCACCCAGGTCAGTGCACGTGTGTCTCTTCTGCAGCTCGGACTTCACGTAGGCGAGTCCAGCAGTGTCAGCTGTGGCAAAGACCAAGTCGTCGACGTACACGAGGATGTAGAACGGCGGCAGAGAGGTGTCGGTGCGCAGAAACAGCGACGGGTCGGCAGTGGAAGGAGCAAACCCAAGTGCCGCGAGCGTAGTCCTCAGTGTGTCGTGCCACTCACGTGGCGCCTGGCGGAGACCGTAGACTGGACGCCGGAGGCTCCACTGGGTACCAGGAGGGAAAGACCCAGTGAAGCCAGGTGGGCGACGCAGCCAGATCTCCTCGTGCAGGCTGCCCTGCAAGAAAGCTGTGCTGAAGTCGAGAGAGTGCAGCTCGTAGTCACGGTGAGCAGCAACGTGCAGCAGAACCCGAAGAGTGGTCATCTTCGGGGTGGGGGAGAAGGTCTGAAAGTAGTCAACCCCCTGCCGCTGACTGAAGCCACGAGCCACGTAACGCGCCTTGAAGACAGGCGGAGAACCCGGCGGCCGCTTCACCCTGAAAATCCACATGCCACTGACGATGTTCGCCCCAGGAGGGGGAACAGCGTCAACGTAGGT